ATTGCACACCAAAATAACTAGACACAAGGACAGTTTTTCCTCCATGACATCACTCTGTTAAACAACTAATTCCCACAACACTGTCTTATGCCCTGGAATGTTAAATTATATAGTAGGGCTATATTACAATTATCTTGTCATCTTTCCTATTACCTATTCCTTTAGCACCTTATGATTATAACTTTGCTGTTTGTATCTTATGATTTATGTTGATTGCTTTTATTTAGTATCTTATTATGAATTATGTTGATTGTTTAGTATCCTATGACTATTACTGAGTGTTATATCTTATGATTTACAATGCTTGTATTTTATGATTATAATCATCATCTACCACTTGTTGCTTGCATGTACGCTGAGAGTTTATGCATCAGAGACAATGTTCTGTTCTGTTCTGTTCTACTCTATTCTACTCTACTCTAACCCCCTTTTCAAATCCCAAAGTAAAAGTAAACGGTGTTGTCTCACCCTTCAGGTCCTCCGTTTTCAGCGATCCATTAATCAGCACAAATTACTGACATTTCTTTAGTTAGTATTCCTTCCGATATTTCTGCCGCTTCGCTGCACTGTTCGGTTTAGAGTTTCAATTTTCAATTTCCCTTTGTAGTATAAATCAGTATTCTGGAAATCTTCTTTCAGTTCACCTTTCCGCTACTCAATTTGCTGTTTTCCACTTTTTGCTTCCTTCCTTCTTCTTTAAGCTGCTGGGCTGCCACGTCTATGGTTCCGATCTGTACGATCTCCCTCTTCTGCTGCTGGTTTTTGGGGGATTCCCTTGTAATCTCCATGATCACGGCACCTCCCCGAGATCTCCAGGTCTTCCCCTTTCGTCTGTCTACCCCTCCAGGGTCCAACATGCTCCTGGAAGCCACCAAACAGCGAAAATCGGAGCCTTTCAGAGCGGCGATCCGCTCCTCAGCTCCGCATCAACGCAGCGCCCAGTTGGAAGCCCCCCTACTCTACTCTTATGAAAGCTAGTATTTATGATGTACGCTGCCTAGAGACACTTCTTCAGATGGGCGGCTATAGAAATCAAATAAATAAATACAAACAATTTCAGTAAGTTATCATCTTTTCTAACATTAATTTTAACTTCTAAGATTTTCTAACATGTACCATTAAGTTATGGTTTGTTTGGCCATTACCCACAAAAGCAATTTTATAGACATATTTTTCCATGATTTGTAACACAAGGATTCTTTTGAGTCTGTTCTTATATTCAACTGCAAGTCATTCCATGAACATGCTATTATTGCACTGTAAAAGGGATGACTCACATAATATTTTTGTCAGCAGACTTCAAACACACCAATTAAACAAAACAGTATTAACTAGAGTTATTTAAGTAAACAGAAAAATGCATAGTGTCACCATTTTTATGCAAAGCCAGAATGGCCCTACCGCTAACTAACATGAAGCAACTATCACAGGAGACCTGACCCATACTAGAAATTGAATGTTTCTTACCTAGCATCCTAAATTATTTATTCCCCTAAGGTGAAGGAAAGATGCTTTCCTGGTGATATAAAATGTCAGCTGCTGCTCTAGTTGGCTTATGTATGATGTGTTGGGAGGATATCTCTGCTTTCAGAGACAACATGATTTGGACCATTCTTACTCCTAATAATCTCACACACAGAGTCCCATTTCTATGCGCTAAATTTTGAGCACTTTAAGACATCTCACCATAACCTATACAATGATCTGAACTATATTGCAACATTTGTACAGCTTGAGGTAGTAAAATCATTCTACACAACATGCTTCTTCCACCACATTTGAGGGCACAAAGTAGAATAGGCCTTGTGGTAACGACTCAGTGTACTTTTTACAGGTGAAACTCGAAAAATTAGAATATCATGCAAACGTTCATTTATTTCAGTAATGCAACTTAAAAGGTGAACCTCATATATGAGATAGACTCATTACATGCAAAGCAAGATAGTTCAAGCTGTGATTTGTCATAATTGAGATGATTATGGCTTACAGCTGATGAAAACCCCAAATCCACAATCTCAGAAAATTAGAATATTGTGAAAAGGTTCAATATTCTAGGCTCAAAATGCCCCACTCTAATCAGCTAATTAAGCCATAACAACCGCAAAGGGTTCCTGAGCCTTTAAATAGTCTCTCAGTCTGGTTCAGTAGGAATCACAGTCATGGGAAAGACTGCTGACCTGACAGTTGTGCAGAAAACCATCACTGACATCCTCCAGAAGGAGGAAAAGCCTCAAAAGGTAATTGCAACAGAAGTTGGATGTTCCCAAAGTGCTGTATCAAAGCACATTAATAGAAAGTTATGTGGAAGGGAAAAGTGTAGAAGAAAAAGGTGCACAAGCAGCAGGGATGACTACACCCTGGAGAGGATTGTCAGGAAAAGGCCATTCAAAAGTGTTGGGGACTTTCACAAGGTGTGGACTGAGGCTGGAGTCAGTGCATCAAGAGCTACCACACAGAGACAGATCCTGAACATGGGCTTCAAATGTTGTATTCCTCTTGTCAAGCTGCTCCTGAACAACAAACAACGTCAGAAGCATCTTACCTGGGCCAAAGAAAAACAGAACTAGTCTGTTGCTCAGTGGTCCAAAGTCCTCTTTTCTGATGAGAGCAACTTTTGCATCTCATTTGGAAACCAAGGACCCAGAGTCTGGAGGAAGAATGGAGAGGCACACACTGCAAGATGCTTGAAGTCCAGTGTGAAGTTTCCACAGTCTGTGTTGATTTGGGGAGCCATGTCATCTGCTGCTGTTGGTCCACTGTGCTTCATTAAGTCCAGGGTCAATGCAGCCATCTACCAGGAGATTTTGGAGCACTTCATGCTTCCTTCCACAGACGAGTTTTATGGGGATGCTGACTTCATTTTCCAGCAGGACTTGGCACCTGCCCACACTGCCAAAAGCACCAAAACCTGGTTCAATGACCATGAGATTACTGTGCTTGATTGACTAGCAAACTCGCCTGACCTGAACCCCATAAAGAATCTATGGGGCATTGCCAAGAGAAAGATGAGAGACATGAGACCGAACAATGCAGAAGACCTGAAGGCCGCTATTGAGGCATCCTGGTCTTCCATAACACCTCAGCAGTGCCACAGGCTGATAGCTTATATGCCACGCCGCATTGAGGCAGTAATTGCTGCAAAAGGAGCCCAAACCAAGTACTGAATACATATGCATGCTTATACTTTTCAGAGGTCCGATATTGTTCTATGTACAATCCTTGTTTTAATGATTGCATGTCATATTCTAATTTTCTGAGATTGTGGATTTGGGGTTTTCATGAGCTGTAAGCCATAATCATCACAATTATGACAAATTACAGCTTGAACTATCTTGCTTTGCATGTAATGAGTCTATCTCATATATTAGGTTCACCTTTTAAGTTGCATTACTGAAATAAATGAACTTTTGCACGATATTCTAATTTTTCGACTTTCACCAGTGCCTGCAATATTTTGCCACTTCAGGCAGCCTCCTTAGTCTCTGACTGGCTGGACCAACCTTTTGTCAATCTTGACATGGAAAAAATATTGCTCAAGAAAACAACTTTCACTTCCTTAACTCAGATTCATAGTCCTCCCTTCCTGAGAATTTGAGTGAGATCAGAACAGGAACTAAAGAGATGATCTATTTACTAATTTGGTGTAACCATTTAATCATTATGGCTTTAGGTTGGTTTTGGTGGGATAATATTGTATTTGCCTGAAAATACTGAGTTTTGCTTTTTCCAGACAAGCCCATTCTGCCAGAGGAAGATAGTTTTAGGGAGGTAAATGATTCAGCACATCACTTTCAACAGAAGTGGATTATACGGTAATTCATTAAAGTTTCTTCCATGATAAATTCATCAGTATTTCATAATTTTTGCTACAACAGATTAGCAAAATGTATCAACTTATCCTTTAGATCAGGGGTGTCAAACTCATGGCCCACGGGCCGGATGTATGATGCACTGGCCATGCCCACCTCTGTTTTAGCAAAGGGGGGAAAGTTGTGATACATCATGTGATGACAATGTGACACTCCTGCTTTAGATGCTATATATCAGACATCCCAAATTACAAGAAAGAAGAAAGAATCTCCTAGTGATTGGAATAGCATATGCACTTGGAATATAGTTGGTGCTTTTTTAAAAAAAATAAAAAAATTTGCACTGATTCACAGCAAACAAAGTCCCATTGCTATTCACAGCATATGCTGTGGATACAAGTCTTCATAGCTATCAGACTAAACCACAAAAGAGTGTATTCGTTTTGGCTTTAATGTGTTGAATGAACCCAGCTGTTATGGTTTGTAAATAGAGGTTTATGGTTTAATGCACCATGTACCATAAATTCCTTCAATTGTGCTCAACAGATTTGACTATTCAATTACTTGGTGCATCAAGTGAACCCAGCTGATGAGCTAAGCAAGAGACACATGGTTCAGAACTTGAGAAAGTATATTTGTGACTTCTTCATGTTGATGGAAGACTAAGTAAATTTCATCTTTGTTTTCATCAAAGCTTTGTTTGTTGTGACCCAAACTGAATTTAGAGAATTAAGCACATACTAAAATGTCTTTACTCTGTCCATTTGACTTTTTTTCTGTAGCTTTCTCACACAGACAAAACTAAAGAAACATTTTCATGTTGTCTGCTAATTTCAGAAATAGAACTAAAATAGAGGAAAAAGCAGGCTATAGGATAACAATTTCACCACACAATTCCAACTATGTTGTCATTATTATTATCAGATGATCCCATTATGTTTGTGCTTTGGATAATTCTAGTCTTTATAAAGGGTTATTACATTCATCTCTGAAAAGTATTGTCATTGTAAATCAGCCAATATTAACCTGTTAAAAAGTTATCAAAAAGCAAAGTCTACCGCCCCCTATTCTGAAAGTGCTATTCTCCAGATGTGGTGAACTACAACTCCTATGCTTCCCAGCCAACATCTGAAGAATATGACATTGGGAACTGCTGGATCGAGACAGTGACATAAAATACAGCATACATACCTCACACAGCCTCACTGGCCCGCATAGCCTGGGAGAGCTTCAGTTAAAAATGTGTCTGCTTTCACGAAGTTCCTGACATTTAACAGTGTCAACGTAAGACTGATACAACTTCTGCACTGTACGTAAATGGGCAAGAATCCCAAGAGCCCCAGTGAAGTAAAGTTATATTTTATCTTTGGATTATAGTCATGCAAATAGTATCCAGTTAGACAGGATAGAAAAGAAAGACAGAACTTGTTTGTGTTTCAGGGAGAGAGAGAGAACCAATTCTGTACTGCATAGTGGGGGAGGGAGGACTAGCTTCATTTTAAAACAGAGAAATATTTGACAGCACTAACAGCAATCAAGTTTATACTAGACACCAGAACAGAGAAAAATCAATCCACAGGATTTTCTGTTATATTTTTCATTGATGCACAAAAACAGGTCTTTATATGGTCATCACCAGATGTTTTCAAACATAAAGGGGACCAGCATTTGTTTTTCAGAGAAGGAGCTTGGATTAAAAAGGACTTGTAGAACTGGGTGAAAATTTGGGAATCAAAGCCAATATGCACGGAAAGGCAAGTATGGATGAGAAGGTGTCTCAAAAACTACCCCCTTTTTCTCTGACATTTAGCAACATAAGAAGGAATAGGTTTTTAAAACGAGGCAGTTTGGTCTAGTAATTAAGACACCAAGCTTGAAAACTGGAGAGTGTTGAGTTCAAGTTCTGAGATAGCCATTAATGCCAGCTGGACAACCTTGGGCCAATCACATTCTCTCAGCACATCTCACCTCACAGATTTGTTGTTGTGGGGAAAATAGGAGGAGAAAGGAATACTGGCTGTGTTCACTGCCTTGAGTTATTTGCAAAAATAATAAAAGCTGGATACAAACAAACAAACAAATAACAGACAGGCATACTCTGCTATATCTGGCCACTAAAAGATAACAAATTGATTTGGGGGCTGTAAGAGTTCTTTCTGCGATAACCGAAAGAAAGAAATCTATTAAGAGATAGTCTCCCGAAAGTAGGGATACATTTTGCTTTCTCCCCAATTTTTTTAATATCTTAATTTGTTCCACTCTTCTTTATGAAAAAAAGAGTGGACTGTGTCTTTTAAATGCAGGTGGGCTGGTGAATCTAGTCCTGGTGTGTTTGTTCACCTATGTTGTGCCATGCGTTTATGAAGTGGTTCATGGCATGGCACAACATAGGAGAACAGACACACCAGGACTGGATTCACCAGTCCACCTGCATTTAAAAGACGCAGGCCTCTCTTCTGAAGACAACAAATTCAGTGGTGGTAAGCTACCGGTTCAGACCGGTTCGCCTGAATTGGTGGTAAAAAAAAAGCCGACAATCGGCTGAGAGGAGGGCAAAAAATCCTGACAATCAGCTGAGAGGTAAAAGAAGAGAAAAGCGCAGGCCGCCTTCTCACCCGCCCCTGTGCTTTTCTCTTCTTTATCCTCTCAACTGATTGACACTGCAGATCTCAGCTGGTATGGGGAAAGCTGCGCGCCAGTGTTAGGCAAAGCACGCCCACCAAGCCACACCCACCGAACTGTTGGTAAAACAATTTGAATCCTACCACTGAACAAAGTCCATATTTTGAACAGAGAGAATCGCTGGTTTGAAAGAGGGATTAAAGAGGCCATCTAAGTCAAAATTTTACAGCTCTCTCTCAACAGAGGGAGGAATATGACATCATCTATCTCCAATCTACAACACAGTCCTTTCAATAGTTCCAAGAAGGCTCCACACCCATTTGCACCACTCAGATGACACAGATAAACCTCCAGGTAGCCTTAATGACCTGCTAAAAGAATGCCAATGACCAGCTGTCTGCAAGGAGTATAAATTCTTCCATTCCCCAGCATTTAGTCAGAGCTTAAGAAGCTTCTTGGATGAGAAGTGAAACGTCTTCAAAGAAAAACCAAAAAGTCAAGTTTCCTCTTGAAAAAAGCACCTTTGGGACCACCATGACCTCGATGGCTGAGAATTTTCATAGACATGTGACCCCAGGTTGCTGCAACCTCCATAAATACCCGCTCTTTGTCAAGCACCCATTTTTTTTATCATGTGTACACGGTGACGCTGCATCAGACATAAGTGTGAGAACTAGTTGTAAGTCACTTTTTTCAGCACCATCATAACTCTGAATGGTTATTAAACATATAGTCATAAGTCAAGAACTTTCTGTATTGTTATAAGATGCAAGCGTTATTCAGGTGTCCACAAAAATTGTAGAAACTCAGTTGCATGACAAAGCTCTCTGAAAAATTAAAGCCTTTGACAGTCTATCTCTGATTTTAATTTCAATGCATATATGCTACAATTTGATTTGGAATTGCATTTCAAAAAGGAATAAGAGTTGCCTTACATTGGTCAATCATATCCTTTTTTGAAATATCAGGATTTAAAAGACTAGGCCAGGGGGAAGTCTTCTTCCCATGTCTTCTCTTGGTTTTGAATTAATGTCTGAGATGGTAAGAAGACTGCAGACTACTAGAGAGATAATTGTCAAGGACATTCACCTACATCTGACGGCTAATCTCTTTATTTCACTAAATAAGTACAAGAATAACCTATTTACCTAAATTCTCTTCCCTTTTGAAATAATTTCAAAGAAAATATTTTTTCACTAAACTGAAAGAAGACAGCAGAAAACAATACAGAATTTTTCTGTCTAGCAAAAGTTCAAATCTGACATAAACTAATGACTCTGACTATCGTATTTGTCTGTCACTTCTTTAGTTAAAAAAAAGTAAATGAAATGCACTGATATTGGATATAAGATATTTGGCTTGGAAATAATACACGTTAAAAAAAAATCCCAGATAATACAATATAAATATGAGTGTGATGTAATGCTAGAACAAAAAGGTTGATACCAATTTAGAATGGATTAATGGAAACTTACACTGTTGTAAAACAACAAGAAAATTATATTCTATAGCTACAGCTTCTTTCAAGTAGTGTCTATTCCTGGAGGCCCACTATTTAAAGCAATATGAACAAATGTGAAAATTATCAGGGATAAGGGAAATCGTTCTTGCTGAGAAAAGGTGGACAGGTTTAACTTGGAGAAGAGCAAAACTATGTCTCTGCTTGTATCTAACCATGGCAAAAATGTGTCCATCTCTGTCTATTGTGTCCCCATGACCTTCATTTCATCCCTAGCCATAAATAAGACAAGTTGAAAGCATTCTTATGCATACTAAAATAGGTTTAAAGTACAGTACCAGTGTTAAGATAGGATGCTCCAACATTGTCCAAGGATAAAACTTGTTTGCTTTTGTCACTCCTAAAGGGGAGACCAATGACAGCATTGATTGCTACAGGATGGATAGCCATGATACAACTGAATAAATATACAGGGAAGAAACAAGCATGAACTTTCATCTCCTGTTTCATCTGGGATTTGAAACGGGTAAGGAATCCATAGGATGCATACTGGATAAGCGAAAAATAAATTGTTAAGAGCAGGGGTGGGATTCTACCAATTCGCACCAATTCGCTAGAATCGGTTGTTAACATTCTAAGCAGTTCGGGGAACCAGTTGTTAGAAGAAATTACTGGCCTAATCCTGTAAGGAAGGCAGGAAGGAAACATTCTGGTGTTGCTTACAGAAACTGCCTCTCCGTTAACCCTTATTACATTCTTGGCAGGACTAGACTTCCTGTCTCAGGAACTTCTCTGGAGTTTTTTTTCCCTCCTTTGCTGGTACTTTGCTTGTGTGGAGTGACCATTCAAAGTTACAATGGCACTGAAAAAATGACTTATGACCATTTTTCACACTTACGACTGTTGCAGCATCCCCACAGTCATGAGAGGCCAGGCGAGGAGATGCCTGCCTCGAAGCGAGTGATATTAAGTTGGCCACACCTAGACAATAACATGACCACCAAGCCATGTCCACCCAGTCACATGACCACCAAGCCACGCCCACCACCTAAGCCATGCCCACAGAACCGGTTGTTAAAAAATTTGAATCCCACCCCTGGTTAAGAGATTATTGTCTCATACACAAACATTAGCTTTCAGACTGTTACAGATGAGGAAAATATCAACAGGCTACATATCACATAACCATAAGCTGAAGCCTTACATTTGTTTTTCAAACAAAGGAGTGCTGGATCACAGATACATATCAAAACAAAAAGGCATGACTCAAAACAGAATAAAGCGGAGGTTGTTTCCCTCTGCAAGGGCCTTTTGTTGGGATGAAAAACAATTAAACAGTAGTCCTGGAATAAATTTGGAGTATGGAAAATGAAGTGTAAGCTTGTTTTCAGAAAAGTAACTGTCTTCTTTTTCATAGTGGGGGAAGATATGTAACCCCAGAGATTAGACTGGCCCCCACTCTGATTCTCTTTCGAAAGACGTTGAAGACCTGATTCTGCCAGTGGGCCTGGGGAACCCAGAGCGGGATGGAGCCCATTAAATGGCTCATGTAATCTGCTGTCGCTGGGGGGAGGGGAGAAGGTGTCAGGTGATTTTACTATATTAATTTATTTGATTTTATGAGTTTTACTGTTTTAAATTGTGGTTTTATATGTTATAAGCCACCTTGAGTCGCCATGATGAATAGGCGGCAATACAAATCTAATAAAAAAGAATAAATAAAATAATAAAACTTCTTGAGTACATGAGAAGCTGCAAGCCAAGACAGATTTCCTACTTTTTAAGCACCTAGTCATATGCAGTAGCTGGCCTCAAGCCTTGAATGAGTTGCTTGGAACTATGAAGGAAAAAAATCTGCAGGCAAAGGCTCCATGGCCTTTCCCTGCGTTCCCAAATCTGGTAGGAAGACCATGAACCATGTTCCCATGAATGTTGACCGGCCAGTCAAGAGATAACAACTTATCTAGATCTCACTTGGAGCAGGGCTTATGAGAACAAGCTGAAGGAACTTGACCTATTTTGTCTGGAGAGAGCAAGACTGAGTGGAGACATGATGGCTGTGTTCAAGTACATAAAACAAGGTCCGATGAAAGATGGCCAGGAAATATTTTCTACTGCCACAGAAACTAAGACTAAAAATAAGTTGTAGTAACATAAATTTCTTTTGAGAAGAACAGAGAGATTTGTACAACAATGAAATTAATCTATTTATAAGAATGTGGATTCTCCATCTCTGGAGATGTTTAAGATGTTGCTAGACACCTTTCAAACAATTCGTCTTCATGTACATTGCAAAGGGTTGGATATGATAATCTACGTGACCTT